TGGTGATCCTTCCCCCTCAGCCTTCCAAGTAACTGGAACTACAGGTGCGCGCTACCACACCCGGCTAATTTTTTGATATATTGTGGAGATGAGGTCTCATCAAGTTGCCCAGGTGGGTCTCAAACCCACGGGCTAAGGCAATCCACTCACCTCAGCCTCCCAAAGCATGGGATTACAGGCTGAGCCACTGAGCCCGGCTAGAGATCTTTCATCTGCATCCCCAGAACCCTGTACAATGCTTAGCACATAATAGGTGCTTAGTATTTGCTGAATTAATGGGTCTTCAGCACTCAGCTCTGAGCAGGCACAGAAGGTCTCTCTGAGTGAAGTCTGAGTGAATGAATGAGGTTGCTGCTAGGAGGCAGGGCTGCATATCTGGCACCTCTCAGGCACACTCTGTCCAGGCAGGCAGACTCCATGATGCCAGGAATCCAGCTGTCTCAGCAGTGTGGGGGTGATGGCATTGTTTCCTGCACACCTAGGAAGCAGATTTGGGAAGGGCCAGGACAGGCCTCCTCTGGGTCTAGCTAGAGTACTGGCTCTCCTCATTATCCTAGGGCCTTGAGAATGGGGACACTGCCCTGAGCCAGGACGGAGGACAGTGCCTGTGCAGCAACTGAGTTGCTGGCATCACCCTATGTTGCCACCCCTGCCCACCATTGCCTCCTTTCTTTCTTTTTTTTTTTTTTTTTTGCTTTCATCTACTTCTCAGAGGCATACAATGAAGCTTAGGCTCCTGCTGTACCCCCAGAGTCCCTGGGACCAGGGACCTAGAACTATACCCCCTGCAGGAAAGCATGTACAGAGAGAGGTTGATGAGCTAATAGGAAAGTCTACACACACACACACACACACACACACACACACACACACACACACGTGTGCGCATGGACACACACAGACTAGATACAGATACAGATATCCACAGAAACACTCACCTCAGCCTCAGCCCTATGGATGCTGGGCAACCTAGTGAGAGGAGGAGCCCTTATCCAGTGTGGGAGGCTGTATAATGCTCCCCCTGGAAAATCCATGACCTAATCTCCTGAACCTGTGAACATGTGACTTTACATGGTAAAGGGACTTTGCAGATGTAATTAAGTGAAGGATCTTGGGATGAGTAGACTGCAGGTGGCAGGAAGGATCCTTATAAAATGGACACAGATGGAGATGTGACTGCAGAAGGCCATGAGACCACAGAAGTACAGGAAGCAGAATCAGAGAAGATGGAAGAAGACTCCAAGAGCCAAGGAATTCAGGCAGCCAGGAAAGCAAGGAAATGGATTCTCCTGGGACATCTAGTAGGAACCAGCCCCACCAATACCTTGACTTTAGCCCTGTAAGACTCAATTCAGACTTCTGGCCTCCAGGACTTTAAAAGAATAAACTTGTGTTGTTTGAAAGCCACAAAGCTTGTGGTCATTTGTTATAGTAACCACAGGAAACCAATACACCCAGGTCCTCCTATCACGGTGGAGGTGCACCTGCCTCTTGGTCAGGGCTCCTGTCAACCAGGAGACCAGTGCAAGACCTGTGCCCTCACACAGACACAGCCCACACACCTGTAGCTAGAAGCGCCAGGGCTCCACCCAGCAGGCCGACAGCCCCCTTCCGAGCTGGGAGAGGGCCCAGAGGGGGCTCAGGGCCAGGCTCGAGTCTTGATTTAAAAATATTTTATTCTTTAGAAAATACAGCACTCAACCACCCCGTCCTGCAGTGAGCCCAGCCCCAGCCCTGACTGACCCCACCCACAGCAATGACTTCTGGGCTATGCTGGGACCTAGTCTCAGTTACCCTAGAGGCCAGGTACATGCCAGGTTCCCCACCCAGCACCCTTGAGCCAGTCAGACAGGGCCCTCAGACACCCCTGGGCACACAGATGAGAGGCAGGGACAGCAACAGGGAAGGGTCACAAAATGCCAGCCCAGTGGCCCCTGGAAGCTGCAAGTGTGTTCAGTCACCAGCTCTTCCGCCCACAGGAAGCACTTTCCTGGAGCCCAGGCTGGGGAGAAGGGAGGTGGCAGGGAGCAGTAGGGCAGGCGGCCTCACAGTCCACATGCCGGCCCGGCTCAGGTCCAGCCACCTAGCTGTCATCCCCATTCTCGCCGGGGCCGCGGATGAGGCGCTTATGGCCCCGCTTGCCCCCCGGGCCCTTGGGCTTGGCGAAGGCCTGCTTGAAGGCGTGTTGCTTGGGGTGCACTTCGTCGTAGAGGAACTCAGCCGTCAGCTCTGCCCCATCACCAATCTCAATCTGCACGGGGCAAGGCAGTGGTCACACCAATGGTGGGGTACTCAGCACATACCACCCTTGGTAACCCCCACTCCTAGGAGACATCTCAAAGCCCAGCCCTGGAGTCCCCCTCAGATCCATACCTGAAATGCCACCCCTAGGAGCTGCCTTGGGCAATGCTCCAGCCTCAGGCTCCCTGTGATCAGCACAGCAGCAATGATTTCTGCTCTGCCGTCATCTCAGGCCTCCAATGACCACGTGGAGGTCCTGGAGGCAAGGCCCTAGGGATGGGCACCCACCTTCTTGGAGATCTCCAGCTGGAAGTCCTGCTCCACGGAGTCAAGGAGGCGGCTCTTGCAGCTGGAGTAGAGCATGCGCTCCTTGATGCTGCACTTGTACCCCGGCATGGAGTAGATGAACACTGAGGGGGAGGAGAGAGGTCAGCCCAGGCAGGTCTGGGAAACCTGCCAACTTCAGCCCCCTGAGCAGGCCCACCCAGCTATAGCCCAGCCCTGCTCCTTTCCAGCCATGGACTTGGGGGTCCTGCTATGGTCACTCACCCACAGACTCGAGGGGGTCACCCTCATGGGTGTGCTTGTAGAGGAAGAAGTGGTAGCGGGCAGCATCTCGGGGCACCCGTGAGGGCAGCTGGGCCACATCCGTAGGCTCTGTGTGCACCAGCTCGATGGTCTCCCGCTCCAGGTCCAGCTTCTGCCAAGAGGGCAGGAGGAAATGGGAGGGTACAAGGTGGGGGAGCGCCTGGGCCCACTATCCCCAGCAAGGAGCCAACCTGGATGTGATCTCTCTCTCCCAGGACTCCCCCACCATGGCCATGCCTCTATGAGGGTCCCTCTGATGAGGTTGCTCTGCCCCTTTGAAGGTTGTGCTAGAAAAAGAACTCCCACCAAGGGCAGTAGTAGACAGGATAGTCCCAAGGGTCTCGACCTCAGGGAGGCACCGCCATTGAGCCAGCACATCCTTGGAGGCAAGGCCTCTGGGGAAAGCACCTTGGAAGGGAGAAGCCCTTCTGCTTGAAAGGTGGAACCCTGGACCTCCAGGACAGAAGGACCCCACCTGGGGATAGGAGGTGCTCAAGGGGGCTGGAGAGGGAATCTGACACAGCAAGGGGCTCAGGGCTGAGGAGTCAGTGTGAACCCAGGGGTATGTGTGGAGGGCAGAATGGGGCAGTGTGCTCACAGGGGGACCTGTGTGTCAGCAGGGCCCGGGGGACAAGGGAACAGAGTGCATCCTCATATGCATGGTGGCTGCACCCAAGGTGAACAGGTAGGGACAGGAGGGGTGGGGTGGACAGAGTGTTCCCATGAGCATGTGGATGAGCTGAAGTGGACAGGCCGCAGGCTGGTAGCTCTATGCACATTTGTACATGTGCATGAACGGGGGTAGGGATGGGCACAGTGTGTGTGCCAGGGCAGCAAATGGCACTCACCAGCTGGATGTAGTTGATCAGCTTCTGCTTGAGCTGCTGAAGTGCCCGCTGGGCCTCAGGCTGCAGAGGGAAGGCAAGGCCCTGCAGGGTCTGGTGCTTGCTTTCCACACTGATCTCTGTCTTCACCTGGGGGCAGAGGAATGGTGAGGGAGGCCCTCACCTACCCAAACCAGGGTATGGCCAACTGGAGAGCACAGGCTCCACCAGCTGGGCCTGACGCGACCCAAAAGCCTCAGGCTGGGACTTCTGCCCACCCTGCCCGGCACACCCACCTCGTTGATACGGATCTGCTGAAGCTCTCTCTCAGCCGAGGTCAGGGGGGCAGGTGCTGCACAGGATGACAGGTGCTTCTGGTACCCAGCAAAGGAGAGGTCGTCCTGGGGGAGGGATGCAAGGGCACAAATGGACACCTTGGGGTGGCCAGCGAAGCCCACTGAGCACCCCAACTTGTGGCCCCTGGACTCCTCCAGCCCTCCCCATCTTATCCCCGAGGCTGGCACTGGCTTGCCTGTGGTTCCGCACAATGCCCCCCTCTCCCCCACGTGGGCCTGTGATCCCAGCCCAGGGCTACCTTCACTGTCCCGAAGAGCTCATCCTTGATGTGGCCGCCCCCAAACTCCTTTTTCACCGTGGCCCGTGTGGCTGCATACAGCATCTTCAGCCGCACCTGAAGGGCAGGTGCCAAACCATGAGACCCCTCTAGGCAGGGATACCTCTCCAGAAGCAGGCAGGCATCTCAGGAGGGGACCTACCTTCTCACTGCCCACACACCCAACAGAGGGTGAGACCTGGAGTGAGGATGCAGCTGCCACCACCAGGGGGAGCCCTCGCTCAACTGACCCTCAGCCTCCAGGAGCCAGGCCGATGCCAGGACAGCCCTAAGGACCCCAGGCTCCAGGCCCTCTCTCAGACTCCGGGGCAGTCTCTTTCCTCAGCCCCCCCAGGGCAGACTCCACGTAGGTCCCTCAGGGTAAGACGCTGTCATCTAGCTCAGACCCAGCTCCCCTCCTTACTCCCCACTGGCCCTGAAATGGGCTGGACAGGGCTCCCTAGGACTCACGGGGGAATTATCAGGTGACCAGGCGAGGAAGAGCCACTCGAAGCCCTGAGCATTCTGTGAGTCGAGGCGGAAGAGCAGGTAGCAGGGCTGCTGGGCATCCAGCAGCGGCAGCACAGCCCTGTCATAGTCCTGGTCCCAGCGGCCAACCGGCTCCTGTGAGGCACCCAGCACGAGCTGCTCTGGGGGCAGAGGCCGGGTGAGCCGAAAGATAGCCATCTCCCACCTCCACCTCTGACTGTGGACCTCCATCCTCACAGGGGCTTTCCCAGCTTTAGACCTGCTGCCACCCTACCCTACTGTGCTGGAGCCCCCAAGCGTGAGGCTGTGACTGAATTAGTGTGTGAGCAAGCAAACACGGGCACAAAGCTGCCAGCTGGGGGTTGCCCCCCTCTACATATCCCCAGCCTGCACACACACATCACCAACACAAACAGCCACATGGAGATGTGCAGCCAGGCCGGGCACGATGGCTCATGCCAGTAATCCCAGCACTTAGGGAGGCCAAGGCATGGAAAAAAAAAAAGACAGCAGTGCCACAGCCACCAGTAGTATAGTGCCTCATGGACACCCACACACCTGAGTGCTTCCTCAGACCCCACCCTACTAGCACAGCCACTCAGTAACCAGTCCCCACCATGCCACCTCTTGCTCCCCTCTTCCCTTAGCCTGGGGTTCCAGCAGAACCCGGCAGACCTCTCTCAGGACAAGGGTGGACCACAGGGACCTGCAGGTGCAAAAGCATCTGGGAAGGAGGGAGGCAGGGGCTACTACCAGACCCTGTTCAAACAGGTATCCTGTAGCCATCCCAACATCTGTAGTTCCCTTCCCCAAAGTCACAAACCAAAAGCAGCCAATTTTTTTTTAGACAGGGTCTTGCTATGTTGTCCAAGCTGGAGTTCAGTAGCACAATCACAGCTCACTGTAGCCTTGAACTCCAGGGCTTAAGCAATCCTCGTGCCTCAGCCTCTCGAATAGTTGGGACTATAGGCACATGTCATCAGGCCTGGCTAATTTTTTTTTTTTTTGTATCTTGAACTCCTGGTCTCAACTGATCCTTCCATCTTGGCCTCCCAAAGTGCTGGGATTACAGGCGTGAGTCACTGCGCCCAGCCTAGCAGCCAAGTTCTTAATGCCTGGGCCCGACAGGCCTGCCACCTCCTTGGCAGACACAGAGTGGGTGAATGGGGCTGGGCACACAGTGGACCTATCAGGCTGCACCTGCAGGCTGGGACCTCAGTTGAGCACCAAACACCAGGCTGGGTGTGAACAGACCTAGGCTAAAGAAGAACTGGGGCAAAGGGACAATCACAGCCTGCCCAGGCCAGTCTGGCTAGGGAGTTGTGGCACCTGCTCATGGGGTCCTCCTGATCAGGGCGGGGCTCAGCTGCCCAGGATTCCCAACACGTCAGGCCCACCTGTTCAGCTGCCTCTCTGTAGGTCTCGGCCTCTCACCTGCCCACCCAAAGCTCAGCTGGGATCACGGCTGAAAATCAGCAGTCACAGGCTATGCTGGCCCCCACTGCACTGTTAACATTGCTTCATTTGTTGCGAACATTTTCAAACCCGGAGATTTTACATGAGTAGAATTCACATAGCTTCTCTAGAAAAAGCAGGAACTCTGGCCACACTGGGACCACACTCAGGCGGAGACAGACAGTGGCTGCCCTTCAGGGAGCCTTGGCCCTCCTCGGCACTCCCAGGTACCCCAAACTGTAATGCAGAACTGGGATAAGAGCCCACCCAGATACTTTTCCTGCTTAAAATTTGCAGGGACAGGCCGGGAGTGGTGGCTCATGCCTGTAATCTCAGCATTTTGGGAGGCCAAGGCAGGAGAATTATTTAAGTCCAAGAGTTTAAGACCCATCCTGGGCAATATAACAATACCCTGCCTCCACTAAAAGAAAAAAGAAAACCTGCAGGAACATCTTGTCTGGGAAACAACAGGGACGGGGGCTGAGACCAATGAGCACAACTGTCTCTTTAAGGGTAGGGAGGCTGTCGCCTGCCACCCAGGAGGCCTTTAGTCATGATCTGTCACAGTGACCCCTACTCGGCCTCTGAGGGCATCTGAATTTGGGGGTCCTGGACAAAGTCCAGCACAGCTGTGGCCCTAAAGCCTGGGACAACAGACCCTTTGAGCCAACTCAATATGTGAGAAGTCAGCTGAGCATAAGGCCCATTGGGGGGCCATCCAAAGGGCACACTGCAGCATGGCTTCTGAGAAGAGCTAAAAGAACCCGTGGGCCTCCCCCTGCCCCAGTCTGTACCCCCCATCCAAAAGAACAGTCCCTTGGCAGGAAGGGAACAGAGAAGGAGACTTCTGCCCCCAACTCAGACTCAGTCTAATCCTCTGCTTCCTTAAACCCTCCTTACTTCAGGTCATAGCTTAAGCCCATGCACCTCTATGACCACCCCCTATATAATCCTCAGGTCCTTGGGGTCCAGGCCAAGAACCAGTCAAGCCTGGAGTCCTCCCATTCTGCTCTCAGAAGGAGCCAGACACAAGTCCCTTCTCTCCATTATGGGGGCACTTCCCAAGGGAAGGCTCCGGACATCTCCTGAGGTCTCCCCATGGCCAGCAGCCAAGCCAGGCCGGGCCTACTGACCACAAACAGATGGAGCCGGTGGCATAGGCCACAGGGGGCAGTGCCTGGACTCATCCCCTGCTCCCCTTCCCCCCTACCCAGGCCAGACCGGTGTCATGACTAAGCCCATCTGAATACCCACACAGCCTCTGGGGAAGCTGGCAGGACCCCAGGACTGGGTTCTCTTTGCTACCCCACCGTCAGTTTCCCGTCCCACACAACAGGAGAGATAATCGCACCCATGTCCAAGGTTCCCTTGAAACTCTTCTTTGTAACCTCACCCCCACTCTCAGATGGGGAAATTGAGGTCCTGAGGGACTCAAAAGCCAACACCCACCTTTCCCTACCTCTAAAGGCAGCTGAGTCCAGCCCCCAGCCTATGCCCCAGCCCTGAGGGGCACTCACCGTCCTCAATGACAACTTTGATGAGCCGGACAGAGCCAGCCCGTGCCTTGGCAAAGAACTCCTTCAGCTCCTCAGTAGCTACAAGAACAAGAAACATGGTGGGGGATAAGCAGGCAGAGTGGGCAGGGACGAACCTGGGGCCTGCTTTGTCCTGCGGGGTCTGGCGGCTGAGCTGGGAACTGGGTTAAATACAGGCCCCCATGTGACTGGGAACCTGAGACGGCCACTGAACACAACCTCCCAAATTTAGCCAGCAGAGGTGGAAGGCGGGTGGCCTGCTGGCTGAGATAGGTCTGGTGACAGGGCGGGGTAGTCAGGGATGGGACAGCCCACCCAAAGATGGGGCGGGCTCTGGAACAAGTCACACACGCCACAGTGAATGGCCACCATCTGTCCCCTGCCCCCCAGGAAGGCCCAGCTCTGGGCTGGCCTGGGACACACACAGTACTATCATTTCCAGACAAAGGAACACACAAACGAATGTCCTCACTATGCACTGACCACTATGCCCATTCACACACATACACACACACACTGCTCAATCCAGCATGTGTGACTGTAACACATAACATGTGTATGACAGAAAGAGGAGTACACATGCAAACACCTTCATACATGAACACACACTCAGTTGGCCAAACAGAAATGAGCATACATGTCTAGACACGCAAACACATACACAGACACCATCCCCAGGTTGCTAACAAGCACACAGGCAGGCAGCCACAGAGCCAAGCTAAGACATGTGTATGGGCAAGAGGATGTACAAAGTATATACAGAGACACAGAGACATGCAGGATACATGTGCATGCATACCCAGGCCCAGCCTACCAGCCAGGCTGCCTAACCCTGAGAGGACCTAAGGAGCCATCACCAGCTCCGGCACAGTCCTGGCTAGAGGGCAACAAGCCCTCACCCCTCATGCAGTAGGAATGGCTTCCAGGAAGAAGAGTAGTCCCCAGCAACTCCCCCAAGAGATTCCATCTTAGAGCTGGAAAGGGACAGCCAGTGGCCAAGGACCCCAGTGCAGGGGTGAAGATCATCATCAGAGTCAGGGAATCATGTCACAGATCCACTAGAGTTAGATTTACTAGTGAATGGGGAAACAAAGGTCCAAGTGCTTGGGTCTCTGGGTGAGCAGGGTTAGGCCAGCATGACCTTGAGGCTGCCCAGGGGTCAGGAGAATTTCGGCAGGAACACAGCTGGAGGGCTGAGGTCAGAGAATATTTATAGGGCCAGGACTGGATAGCTCAGGGGCGGGGGGGCCTTTAGGAAAACAAACTCTGGTTCCGCCCTTAGGTGCCCCCCTTGCAGAGTGACCATGAACCTGAGATCTCAGGCTGTTTACCACTCTCCAAGGCCACTGAATGGGCAGGGGCCCAACTGAGCCCAGCGGACTCTTGGGGCTCAGAGAAGCATGGAATGAAATCATAGGCAGGTGGGCACAGTTCCACTGGGCCAGAACAGGACTTTATATTGGCAGGCACCAAGCAAGTCCCTGAGGCCCCCAGCCTGGCCACAAGGGCTCCACCTCTTTCTTAGTTGTGTGACCCTTGACCTCTCTGAATTTCAATCTATAAAAGGGAGATAAGGCTGGGTTCAGTGACTCAGCCTGTAATTCCAGCACTTGGGAGGACAAGGCGAGTGGATTCCCTGAGCCCATGGGTTAGAGACTAGCCCAGGCAACTTGGTGAGACCTTGTCTCTATAATAAATCAAAAACTAGCCGGGTGCGGTAGTGCACACCTGTAGTTCCAGTTACTTGGAAGGCTGAGGCAGAAGGATCGCTGGAGCCCAGCAGGTCGACACTGGGGTGGCTGTGACCATGCATGCCACTGCACTCCAGCCTGGGCCACAGAGTGAAACTCCAACTCAAAAAATAAAAAATAAAATGGAGATAATACTCCCAAACTCCAAAAGGGTGTGGTGAGGGTGGGTGGGACAAAGTACTTGGTAATGGGGGGGTCTCTATTAATTGCAATTTTTATTACTATAATAACCGCAGGTCACTGTACTAAGCTGGCCCTTCTACCTGCTCAGACCTTCTGAAAAGGGAGGTCAAAGTAGCTCCCCCAAAGAAGACGCTGACAGGCCCCTTCTAGTGTTTCTAGGGCAAACTGACACCCTAGCGAGGGAAGTCACATCCCTCCCCTCCCCACCCCAACCCCAATGCCTTCCCAGCCACCATCAATAATCCAGAGACCAGGCCTGGGACACCTGAGCCTCAATTATAAAAGATTCATGAATACTTCCCCCACAGTGCCTACCCCCCCAACTCCAGTGAGCCTCAGATTACAGGTTCCTTCCTGCCCTGCTCTGAGGTCAGCAGATCCACACCTATGGTAAGGACAGGGCTGGCACCTGGTCCTCCAGGGCGATCTCTCCTGCCAACTCCCCAAACCAGAAATGGGAAGCAGCAGACTTCTCACAGGCAGGAGGGTGGGGACAGCCCAGTCCCCAGTAAGCCCTAGGCATGACTGTCTCACTGTATGGGAAATGAGGGAGTGAGGCAAAGGAGAGGGTGTGGGCTGGCTAACTTCCCAGGATCTCCCCCACCAAGGCCGGAGGTGGCAGCTACGACCAGACAAAGGGGAAGGAAGGGGCAGGCCAGGAGGCAGTTCCTTCAGTGGGGCTGAGTCATGAAGCCCGCCCCTCCATCTCCTCCTGGAGAGGCTGGCCCATCTGGTGGGAGGCTGGCCCTGACCCAAGTCCTTGCCTTCTCTGGTTCTGGAGGGGCGTGAGTGGGGGTGGGACCAGGGAAACCCTCTCAGGGCGGCCCAGCCACCAAGTGACCACAACTGTACCCACCAGGATTCAGGCGGTCAGGCAGGTCGATGGTGGTAGCCCTAGGCAGGAGTTCCTGGTGTGGCGGGAGGAGTGGCTGATAGCCAAACCCACCAGGCTGTCTGGGCAACCAGCCTGGGCCTTCCCAACAGGTCAGGCAGCCTTCCCAGGTCAGTAACAGATGGGGACACTGAGGCCCAAGTAGGGTCAGGGCATTTGGTTCCCAGTCATTGTTTCTCTGATAGCCGGTCCAAGGAATAAACTGAGACCCCTGGGGGAGGGGAGTGTGAGTAATGCTCCAGGATGGCAAAGATTCCTGGGGGGTTGGAGGGGGATGGGAGCTGGCCTGGATTCTTTAGGGCCAAGACCCTACCCGACAAACGTCACATCTGGGCCCTCTTCTCTGCTTCCAGGTTTGAGCTTCGACCTTTCAGGGCAGACTCAGGAGATCACAGTGGAAAATGGAAAGGAGGTAGAGGTCAAGGTCAGATTGGAAACCCTCCTCATCCTACTTAGAGGACCCTGTCCCAGGTTTTCCTCAGCCTAGAATGAGGGAGTGTGTGAGGGTCTTGAGAGGAGCAAAGGTCAGGGTCCCCTCCTCACACAAGCCCATTCAAGTCATAGCGACACATCCAGTACATGCATCCATGGCAACAAATACAGAGATGTGCCCCAATTGTGCACACACACAGACACCCACAGACATGTGCACACTGCTATGAAACACTGATGTCTAAATATGGTCATATGCGACGTACACAGTGTCCATTCAAACAGCCACTAGTGCATGTGCACGAGTGATCCTAGATGTGCATAAGCAAGTCACATCCAGATGTGCACACAGGACTGTACACAGAAGACATGTGCACATGCGTGTACACCCACCCCCAGAAAGGAACAAAAATATACAGATGGCACACACAGACACATCCACTCCCAGGTGGGAACACATACTTCCATCTCAGCTGTGTAGGTACATTTACACCCACTCCCAGCCATGCACAGCAAGTCCGTACTCCCCCAAATATGCCCACCCCAGGTGACCCGCTACTGCAAAAAACAGGAAGCTTTCCCCGGCTGGTGCGGGAAGGAGGGTGGGGCCGAGAGCCGAGGAAGGGGCGCAGTGAGAGAGCCGGGACCCTGGGCCCCCTGCCGACCCGCCTGCCATCCGCCCTCACCGTGGATGCCCGTCTGGTGCGCCATGGCTCGGCGCTCCGCTCCGCCCGCGCCGTCAGGGTCCTCCGCTTGGCCCTGGTCCCGCTCCGCCCGCCTGGACCAAGAGGAGGAGGAGGATGTGGCAGTAGCTGCCGAGCCCCGCGCAGCTTCCCGGGCGGTGCCGCAGGACCCGCCCCCAGAGACGCCCCGCCCCCGACAGCGAGGCCGGAGGGGCGGGGACTCGGGACCGCGCGTGCGCGCAGGGTGAGCCTAGGTCCGTGTGGGTCTGTGGCAGGTTGGTCTGCGTGCACGCGCGCGCCTGCGCGTGCTTCTGTGGCGGGGGAAGAGGCCTGCGTGTGGCCGAGCGTGCGCGCGCATGTTATGTCTGTGCACCCTGATTTGGAGGTTTGTGGGGAGGATTCGTGCGTGCGCGCGCGCGAATCTCTGGTGGGATTCCGAGAAGGGGCGGATCCAGGCGTACCCCGTGTTGTGACCAGGAAGGGGTCGGCGTGTGAGTGGGCGCACGTGTGTGCGTGCTGTCCCTTCCCTGAGGGACGCTTCCAGAGCGCCTCCCGTGGGTCACTGGGCACCTCGGGATGGTCATGGCTGGCAGGCCTTGCCTGCACGGTGGGGACCCAGATCCACCTTCTAGCAGGCAGCCAGTAGATAAACAGTGAATGTGAGGGGCTGCTAGAAAAAGGCGAAATTTGGACGGAAACCTAGAGAGGAGAATGGAGCTGCGGGCAAAGTGGAGGGGAAAGTTTTCTGAGAAGAGGGAACTGCACGTGCCTAAGCCTAGAGGTTGAAGGAGGGTCAGAACTCGGTGAGTCTGAGGAGCTTCCCAACTTCTAATGAACTCTAGCCAGCAGTCTTGCCTTACTGGCACCAGTACCTGCCTTCTGTTACCAGGCATTCCTACATATAGTATATCTTCCAGACCACTGATTGAGTCAGGGATAAGCCCAGTTGGCCCAGTCAGCCTGTCCAGGGACTCTGGTTGGGAAAAATAGAAAGGAGTCTGCCTTTTGGGGGTACTGAGATTGTGATGGTGAAATGTGTGGCCTGCCTTCTTTCTGGCCTCAACTTGACCTCCCGTTTACTCTCCTCCCAACCCCCCCCCCCTCGTCCCCCCTCCCCACTAGGTAGTATTGAGGCCTCCTGAGTTTCTGATTCTCTGAGAGTCCAGAATACACAGAACTGAAGGGTTTTTGTTCATCTTCCTGTGCTCACCCTGAGGACTGGGCCTGTGTAGCCTGCTAACCACCGTCCTGGCACTCACAATGGAAAATAAAACTGCTGTGTGGTCCTGCTGCTTGCCCTCGGAAGGACAGTTCATAGGCTAGGCTCCCCACTGAGCCCTGCCACAGCTAGATGGGGCCAGGAACACAGAGCTACTGGCTACACCAACTCACTGACTTGGCACTGATCTGGGAGCAACTGGTGATTCCACAGAACTATAAAAGCCTTGATCTCCTGGAAACAGGAATTAACTACTTAACTTCGAGATTAATGAAAAATGATAAAGCCCTGTGGCCTGTAAAATGCCCATCCCGCCAGGCTCCGTGGCTCAGCCTGTAATCTCGCACTTTGGTGGGCCTAGGTGAGTGAATTGCCTGAGCCCGCGGGTTCGAGACCTGCCTGGGCAGCTTGGCAAGACCTCATGTCTACAATAAATCAAAAAAATTAGCCGGGCGTGGTAGCGCGCGCCTGTAGTTCCAGCTACTTGGAAGGCTGAAGCAGAAAGGATCGCTGGAACCCAGCAGGTAGAGGCTGCAGTGGCCAGGAGTGTGCCACTGCACTCCAGTCTGGGTGACAGAGTGAGACTCCAACTCAAAAAAGAAAAGAAAGCCAGGCTTGGTGGCTCAGCCTGTAATCCCATGCTTTGGGAGGCTGAGGTGAGTGGATTGCCTGAGCCCGCGGGTTCGAGATCCACCTGGGCAACTTGGCAAGACCTCATCTCTACAATAAATCAAAAAATTAGCCAGGCATGGTAGCGTGCACCTGTAGTTCCAGCTACTTGGAAGGCTGAGGCGGAAGGATCGCCAGAGCCCAGCAGGTCGAGGCTGCGGTGGCCGGGAGCGTACCACTGCACTCCCGTCGGGGTGACAGAGTGAGACTCCAACTCAAAAAAAAGAAAAAGAAAAGAAACCTAGAATAAACTTAATTTAGCATAGTCTTTTTGCTTCAGCATAGTCTTTTTGCTTCAGCATAGTCTTTTTGCTTCAGCATAGCCATTTTTGCTTAGACTTTACCCGACATGCTTTGAATCTAGCATGGGTTAGACATAGATAAGTTACCAATAGGCAGGTTTTAGGAAGCCTTCAGACATACTGCAGCCCAAGCTGGCAGCCTACCCCACCCCCTCAGCAAACCTCCATCATGTACAAGACCAGGACAGCCCAACAGCCCAACCATTTAATTCATGGTTTAAAATAATAATCTCTAAGAAACTTTCAGGATCCTTGGCTGGCTAAAGCCACAGAAATTATAAGTCCACCTTTTTGCCAAGGAGTTTGTGGATTGCAAACATCTGGCAAGTCTCTTGCAGGAAGACCCCCTCCCTTGTCTCCTCCCCTTTAGCCCACCACCATGGCAGCAATCATGTGACTAACCCACCCATCTGCCTACTATCTTATCACCTGAAGTCAGTATCTGCACTTAGCTGCCCCTTTGTGATGATGTGGAGCAGACCACCACACAATCACCCACCTTAATGACCTTCCCCCATCCAAGGGAAATGGTTAAAAGGAGGCAACCACAAGCAGCCATTTTGCCATTGCCTTGCTAAGCTACGGTGTGGCCATGTGCTCTTTGAGCTATGGCCAGGCAATGTTTTCTTAAGCTTTGGACTCCCTCTGCTACCTTGGGGAGGTGAGTTTCCTCTTTCTCTCTCGCTCTCATTTACTTTCTAAGTAAACTATATTTTCTAATCTAACGTCTGCGCAATTCTTTGCATCTTTCATGTGGCATCGGATCGCACACCAGACACCCACAGCCCCAGCATGCCTGACGTAACATTCTGGAGATCCCACTGAGTGTGTGCCCTAACACCCTCCATCATCTCTCACACCTAGTGATGAGGGTTTGAGCCCTGTCCTGCACAGCTTCAGATCCTGGGATGCAGGTGAGTAGTCCAAGGGTCAACAGGTACCCAGATAGACTCTACCTCCCAGGGACGGACAGAACGGCCCAGAGCAGGCTGGTTGCCCCTCTCCGATGTTTCTTAACACAGCCATTGAAATTACTATAACAAAAACTTTTTCCAGGTCTATCAAAGAGTTAACTGTTAAAAAAAAAAGCAATACTGCAGAAACAAAGGGAGCAGTTTGCAGAATCTTGGAGTAGAGGAAATTTTCTGAGAATGTCACCAACCCAGAAACCATAAAAGAAAATGTCATTTGTAAAGGAAAATAAAAATCTCAGAACCCCCAGATTTGTTAGGCTGATGGGAAAGTTAAGCTTGGAGACTAAGTCAGGCAACATTGCCATTCTCCCAAATGAGAGACTGAGATAAGAGTCTCAATCAGTCCAGGTTTATTGAGCCAGAGCTTGAGGGCACGCCTAGAGAAAAAAACACAAGTCACAGAAAGTTTTGTAGCCTGTGCTCTCTGAAGACGTTTTCAGGAAGCTCAGTATTTATACATTTTTTTAAAGGGGAGAAGACAACAAGGTGCGACTGTAATCCCTGCACTTAGGGACGCCAAGGTGGGAGGATTGCTTGAGCTCAGGAGTTTGAGACCAGCCTGGGCAACATAGCATGAGACCTCATTTCTACAAAAGATTTTTGAAAAATTAGCCAGGTGTAGAGGCGCATACTTAATCCCAGCTACTCAGGAGGCTGAGATGGAAGGATCACCTGAGCCCAGGAGTTTGAGGTTGTCTTGAGCTATTTTCATGCCACTGCACTCCCATGGGCGACAGAGTGAGACCCCCCAACTCAAAAAAAATAAATAAGGGGAGAAGGCATGAGGAAGAAAGGGATAGGCAGTGAGGCAAATGGTTACATTTTTGTGAGACTCTTAATTAGTGCCCTGTAAATCTACCTTTTACATAAGGTAAACATTTGAAGAAAAGGGGATAAAGGAAGCGTCAATTATGCAGATATTCAGGGTCGATGGAGGAACAATTGATCTCATCCTGTCCTTGTTCTGCACCTAGGAAGAGAAGCTGATAATCAACATCGTAAGTGTGAAATTTAGCAGACTTTAGGAGTTAGACTTAGGCTGCAGTTTTAAAGTTACAATTGACATGTCCTTGTTTTATGGGAGGATATAGGTCCTGAAAAGCTTAGAGGACAGCAAAGGATTTACTTATGAGCAATTTGTGAAGGTCTCATATGGAGCTGCATGAGGCCCTTTGCCTTTCTGTGGGGATCTGGCTAATATAATATGCTTTGATACGAGGTTGTGAAGGAGCAGCATCCATTTGGGAAAAGAATGGCAGTGTTGCCTGACTTAGTCTCCAAGCTTAACTTTCCTCAGCCTGACAAATCTGGGGTCCAGAGAGTTTTATCTTCCTTTACAAACAGATCAGTAAGTTCATTTGCATTGAAAATAAAAAGTCTTTATGGAAAAACCCACCATCACAATCAAAACACAAATAACAAACTGTAACTAGTTACAAACATCATACTTGTAACTCATTTCTTTTTTTTTTTTTTGAGTTGGAGTCTCACTCTGTCGCCTAGACGGGAGTGCAGTGGCACGCTCCCAGCCACCGCAACCTCGACCTGCTGGGCTCCAGCGATCCTTCTGCCTCAGCCTTCCAAGTAGCCGGAATTACAGGCACACGCTACCATGCCTGGCTAGTTTTTGATTTATTGTAGAGATGAGGTCTCGCCAACTTGCCCAGGCAGGTCTCGAACCCGCGGGCTCAGGCAATCCACTCACCTCGGCCTACCAAAGCACAGGATTACAGGCTGAGCAACCAAGCCTGGCTGTAACTCATTTCAAAATGAAGAACTGATTTCCCTAATATATAAAGAGCTCTTATAAATCAATAAAAAAGACCAATGGCCCAGCAGAAAATGAGGCAAAGGATACAAACAGACCAACCAGAGAAGAAGATATACAAATAATGTCTCTCAAACTTATGAAAAGTTGTTCATCTTGTCTTAATAAAAGAAATAGAAATCAGGCTGGGTGCAGTGGTGCACACCTGTAATCCCAGTACTTTGGTAGGCTGAGGCAAGAGGACTGCCTGAGCCCATGGGTTTGAGAACAGCCTGGGCAACTTGGCAAGACCTTGTCTCCACAATAAATCACAAAAATTACCTGGGTGTGGTAACA